ATACTCGTCGGAGTTGATAAGCAGACAAAGATAGTTATGATAACACTGGTGCCGACGCTGTTGCCGGTGAATGTTTCGGTCACCGCCAAATGGCATTACATATCTGCCTTTGTGTACGTACTTCTTCTACTCCCTTAAGTATTTTTGATGATCGTGAAATTGCACCTCACCCAAAAATTTAAGCTATTAATTATTATATTTTAAATACGTCTTCTTACATGCTTGAAATTTGTATAATTTTCATAAATAGATAGGAATGAGACTTTTGATTTTTGTTATCGAAAAATTATTTCCACACTTGTTTTTCAGGTACTTTGTGGTGGCAAATGCAATAGCATGTTCCTATGCAGCTATTTCATTAATCCTAACATTGGTAGGAAACAAAGGTCTAACAATGGTGATAATCATATTTGACCTAGTGATGGTGGCGCTCCTCCATTCAAGTGGTGGGACCGCCCTGGCCGTGGGTCTGCTCGGCTATGAAGGCAATTCACACGTGCAGTGGAAGAAGGTGACACCGCACAAACCTTTTAAGACGTCCCAAGCGGCCATCGGCATTGGCCTGTCTCTTTTTGGTGCCGCGTTGTTCTTCTTGCTCGTAGTGCTTGCCGCTTTGCACCACAAGAAGAAAAATTAGTTTAGTACACATTATTGGATTAGAATTCCACGATGCATGTTTATGTAACTGTAGTTAGTTAATTCGTTGAGTTAGCATTTATGAATTTATGATGCGTGATTGTTAATTTGTCACTCTTTCTGAAGAAGTCATGTTCTTGTGAATTCTATTAGAATGTAATTGGATCTATTCAGATACTATACTAGAAGTATTTGAATCAAAAGATAATTCTTAAAAAACTAATCGCACTGATATTTTAGTCAATTTAACATTGAATAGAATGAAATAAAAATGAGAATAATTCTCTCTCTGGGCAATGTACGAGTGTGTTGTGAACAATCTCGAGATCAAGAGGTAAGGTACACAATTTAGCTTTGGCGATAAAATCATAAATTTAGTTAACGAATAGATATATTCCCTACATTTTGTATGGTGTTTTATGAATTTTCTCGTGATCGACAATACTTTGACGCGTGATAGTTTAGAAAGACAAACTAATTTGCACGTGTTTAAGTATACTTGATTACAGTGGAGAGACCAATAAATAACTTGGACAAATTCAATGGGCAACATTGAATGAAGTACGATAACATTTGATACGTGAAGTTAAATCAGAATAACTACCGTGAAAACATGAGTTCTAACACATCAAATCATTGGAACATTTTGAAGTCGAGATTTTTACTTGCTTCTAAAATAATTTTCGTTAATATTTATTTTTCTTTATTTTTAATATTTTTAATTTATTTTTTTGAAATAAAAAACGGTTTCCAAATTCCAAAACGATGTTTGGGCCATTTTTCGTTTTTAGTGTAAAATTTTTTTCCATTTTTCAAAACACGTTTTCGAAAATAGGTTAGAAAACGCGTTTTTACTGTTTTGAAAAATTGAAAACAGAAAACGGGTTGAAAACAATAAAGAGAACAGGGCCTTAGATTTTTGAGTAATTTATTGTCTTCAAACATTAATATTTGCCCCTGTTTGCCCCCCATTACTTTTCATTTTGCTCCATCAAATTACGTTTTCTTCAGTCAACTAGGGTAGACGGTTGGGACCCACTGCCACTTTGATGCAATATAAATGAATTTAAAATGAATTTTTTATATTTTAATATAACCACTCATGGGGAAAATGACAATTTCGCCCCAAATATTGTGTAAATGTCAAAATGACATCGAGGGTGTTTTCGTCCTTTAATTGACTGACGGCTGGGACAGCAATAAATGTGCCTGACACTGCAGTGACTCAACTGCCAGGTTTGTATGTTGAAAATCGTGATAATGTGCAAAAATAAAAATTGATGGGGGCCAAACAGGGGCTTTATTTTTCTTTATTTTTAATATTTTTAATTTATTTTTTTGAAATAAAAAACGGTTTCCAAACTCAAGCCCACGAGTCGGGCGGGAAATCACACTTACATGGCGGGAATTATAATAATACTACCAATTCCAAAATCGCGTTTCACCGTATAAAATATAAATCGTTTTACATATTTGATATTTTTCCTCTGGGCGAATCCTTTTTCCTCTTCTTGAAAGAAAAACCAAACCCTCGCGAGAAGCGGCGATGGCGAAACACTCGAGAGCGAAGGACTCATCCGACGACGCCGTTTCAAGCTCCTCGGAGGAAGAGCAGGTCAATGACCAGGTCATTGATGAAGAGGACGAGGAGGAGCTTGAGGCCGTTGCCAGAACCGCCGCAGAAGATTCCGAGGATGACGACAACGATGGCGTCACTGCTGGACAGGAGATCGAGGACAATGAGGTTAGAGAGAAATCAATTTATTGTTGAGCGAACAAATTTTATTACGATTTAATTATTTTTTGGTGAACGGAATTGGAGATGTGGCAGATCTGTCTGCTTGGCTTGTTATTGAGAGGTTTTTAGTTTGAGCCTTTTGTTTTACGGTGTATTTTGGCATTTTTGTGTAAAATGAGCGTGTTTTGTCTGGGTATTTAGTTCGTAGTTGAAGTTGAATTGTGTTTAGTTTTGCATGCATTGATTTTAGGGCGTTTAAGGTTTTTGGCCGTCCTCGTGTTATTTTTTAATAAATCTGTGACGTTTACTGGAAAATGAACGATTAAAAAAATATAGAATTTGTAAATTTGGTTTCTTTAGAGCATGGATATTTTAAATTTAAGCCTTTTAGGACTTCACTTATCGAGATCAAGGCTAGCTCAATTGGTAAGAAAGAAGCCTTACCATTTCAATGATTTGGGAAAGGGCAAAATTCAAAAAAAATAAAAAAGACATGAGTTTTCCTCAAATGGACTTTCATATTGAAGTGAATTTGAAGTTCTATCATAGCTTGATGTGTTCTTATATTACTTGCAGGAAGACACTTCCGTGTCAAATAAAGTTGCCAAGCGTGAGAAAGCGAGGCTACAAGAATTGGAGAGGTTGAAGAAGCAGAAGATACAAGAGATATTGGATGCACAGAATGCTGCTATTGATGCTGACATGGTGCATTACCTGGAAAAACTATCTTAGTGTTAATGATGCTTTTAATGTCTTACGCGTAGAAATTTTACATTGACGTTGGTTTACTTTTGAGGCAGAATAACAAAGGAAAAGGTCGTTTGAAGTATCTTTTGCAGCAGACAGAGTTATTTGCTCACTTTGCCAAAGGTGATCAGTCTGCACCTCAGAAGAAGGGAAAAGGGAGGTTGGTTCTGCTCATCTTTCATGCGTTTCTTCATAATCATTACACTGGTTGAGATTTCCAAGCATATAATCCCTTTGCATGGGGACTTCTACTAACATGCTCCCGTTTGAGAGAATAGATTTTGTAAAAAGTGATTTTTTAAAAAATGCGTGGTTATAAAGTTAGGAAAATCCTTTGGTTTATATACAAAATTATTTTATTGGGAGAATGTATGGTTGAAAGCGAGTTTGAGCAAAAAAAATGGGTTTAAAGAATGGGGCTCAAACAGGGGCGGTAAATTATTGCTTCATATGTTTATGAGCTGGTATAGCAGTTGATGTGTATCTGATATACAATCCAACAAATTTTCATTGTGTTTGTCCTGATTGTAATTTTCAGTGGTCGCCATGCATCAAAAGTAACTGAAGAGGAAGAAGATGAAGAATATCTGAAGGAGGAAGAATCTGGGGCTGGAAATACAAGGCTAGTGGCACAGCCGTCTTGTAAGTTTTTTGCTAGCCCTCTTTCTTCTATCTGCTTTGTTTTCCTTTGAAACATATGTCATGATTGTGGCTGATAGATTGTAAAATTTAAGGATTGTAATTGATCATGTGGTTTATTGATTGAAATGTTTTGGGTTTGCTATGAACTATTTTGAAGAGAAGATTATGCATTTTACTTGACATTTTTGCAAGTTGAAGTATTGTTGGTGTAATCTTTAAATTTCAACTTCCAATATATTTCTTTATTGTTTTTTGGTTGAAACTATAAAATACGTATTTGTCTTGCAGGTATTCAGGGTAAGATGAGGGATTACCAACTTGCTGGTTTGAATTGGCTCATAAGACTGTACGAGAATGGCATCAATGGAATACTTGCTGATGAAATGGTACGAGCAGAGACTAATATTTGCCATTAAGTATTTCAGCAATTTGTATACTGATGGGGGTTTGTTGTTGACACTTCAATTCAGGGGCTTGGTAAAACTTTGCAAACAATTTCCTTGATGGGGTATTTGCATGAATTCAGAGGAATTACTGGCCCTCATATGGTTGTTGCCCCAAAATCTACACTTGGAAATTGGATGAATGAAATCAAACGTTTCTGTCCAGTTTTGCGTGCTGTAAAATTTCTGGGAAATCCAGATGAAAGAGTAAGCCTTCCAGCATTGATATATATATATATATATATATATGTGTTATTCTCCTATCTTAATATACCTGTGGCTAATTCCATTTTTTGTGCTTCCTGAATGCCTAATTCTCCAGAAATATATACGGGAGGAGTTACTTGTTGCCGGAAAGTTTGATGTATGTGTTACAAGTTTTGAAATGGCCATCAAAGAGAAGTCTTTGTTGCGCCGCTTTAGCTGGCGATATATCATCATTGATGAAGCTCATCGAATTAAGAATGAAAATTCTTTGCTCTCAAAAACAATGAGACTTTACAACACTAATTACCGACTTCTAATTACAGGAACTCCACTTCAGGTAATCTTACTGTCTTTCTAGGTTTCTGATTACTTAGTGAAGTTGCTTCTTTGCACTTTCGGTGCTTGCTACTCCTAAATTGGAAGTACAGTTTGTGAATTATCAGATTACCTTGTGAATGTGATAAGTTGTACATATAGCATATCTGCCCGGAGTGTGTCATCTAGTGTGTTCGTCAATGTTGTATATCTATTGAAACTTTGTAACTTTACAATTCCATTGAGTGCAATTTCTGGAAGGATCTTGGAGATTCTGCGATACCAGCTACTGTACTAGGATAGCTTTGCTCAGCATATGTAATAAAAGTCATTTTTTACTTTGGTCTTCTTTGCTGTAGTTAATGTCAAGGCAAAGGGGAGTCACTACAAGTAGTAACTTCCCGAAGTTGTGAATGCTTTTTTTTTTTTCAATGAAGAATTCATTTATAATGTAGGATGAGCAGGGGAAACTGTAACACCCTTAGTGCGTGTTTGTCTCCCATTATTATAGAAGCAATGGAGTAATAAATAGTATTTTTTTGGAGAATGTGTGGTTGAAATTTAAAGTAACTTTATTGGTTTGTGTGTAGAATATTTTATTGGATGAATGTGTGATGGAGAATCTTATCGTAGCAAACAATGTTTTTGAATAATGGGAGACAAACGGAGCTTTAGTCTTGCAATATAAATTTATTATGTATTACTAAATGGCTATTGATGATGATCTATCATTTTTTCACGAGCATTTATTTTTTCATACCTGTCATGCCGCATCACGATTTAATGAGGCAGACATCAATAGTTTACTGTTTATCCTCTTGTTACTTATCATTTTTAGGAGCTCTTGGGTATGCTTGATGCTTCCTATTTGTTTCAATTGTTTGTAATCGGTATTTATTGTTTGTGGAT